TTTTTTTTTTTATTTCAAGAAATCGAGCATATTTGCGCAACGTGCAAATGAGCTGGAAAACAGCATCTAATTAAAGATAATTTGAAGTAATTCTCTATGTCCCTGTATTTTGTATTATTACGTGATTGAAATATAACTATTGTACTTTTTTATTTATTTGAACGATAGGAGATAAGAGTAGTGGAAATTGATTATAAATTATAGCTCATATATCTGAAGCTCGATATTAACTGGAAACTCAGCATAAACAAGATTCTGTATTAATAGTGTTTCAACAACGAAGATTTGGATGTGAAAGCTTTTATTGTATTAGTTCAAACTAATTATTGATTAATAACTATTAACTAATGACAACTAATTTTAATCTTTTGTTTATAGTATATGTATAAAAGTCATTCAAGATCATGCTGGATTTAGTTGATGAAAACAATTTCTCGTATTTTCGTAAAGATGTTTGAACTTCCAAAATTTTCGAGGCAGTCTTGTCGATAAATTTATACCACGTTTTATTTTTTTTTTTTTGTAATATTTATTGCAGTCTTAACCCCTTTTTTCTGTTTCTTTCGTTTTTCGTACGTTTTAATTATAATCCATAATAAAATCTTTTTGACGTGAAAACGTGTCAAATCAGCGAATTCTACTGATGAAACCGTGAACATTGGCGACAGTATATTTAAATTACACAGACGATCGTATTGCATATTTATAACTCAAAAAAGTCATGTTTTACAGCAATAGTGGAAAGCAATTTGTGAATTACATATCATTTTATAGATATAATTATACCCTGCTTAATAATTATATACAATATACAATAATTATGTATATTTAATAATAATAGATGTTATTAAAATATATATAATTTTTTTTTAATATTTCATTTCAATACAGTTTTACGATCTCTTGTGTGTTCCACGTTGCAAAAGTATTGCAAGGAAAAGAAAGATATCAGGAGGAGACTGAACGTAATGAAAAAGTGAGAAAAGTAGCAGAGTAATCAATTAAAGCAGCATTGATCAAAGAAATAACTCAAAATAATACACTTTTCATCACGTACTTGCCCGCAACAATTATCAAAATAAAAAATTCATAATATTTGTACTTTGTACAGTATGAATATGGTTTCCATGATTGGTCAAAGATTATTTCTGCAACATTCTTACAGCGATAAGTAAGAAATCATGTCAGTTTCGTCACAAGCGTGGCGATACGTATCGTCTGCTCCTAAGTTCTAAGAAATACACTATATTTTTTATAGTCATTTTATAGCCACAGATTGCCTCTCGTTTACATATAATTTAATTATTATTAATTATTACTAAAGATAATGCGAAAATATCAGGCGATAATTAATAAAATTACATTACATAAATAAGAGATATTAATCACACGTAATTATAATGTGCACTGATCGTTTTAGTTCTACCTGTATTTGAAACTGTACTGTTAAAATCGATCGGTAATGGTGATAACGATGATAATGAAGTTCCTTACTTGATTCGACGTGATTTCTCTTCAATGCGA